TCTGGGCGACAGAGTGAGACTCCAACTCAAAAATAAAAATAAAAATAAAGGTTGTCTGTGTTATCAAAGTTGTGTCGAGTTTCTGACTCTGTCAGTTTGGAAGAGTTAGGACGGTGTTAGGGAGGGATGAGTCACCTGACTGGCTCTAGGAGAGCCAGTGACACTCCTGGCCCATCTCAGGCTCACTCTCAAGGCTCCTGGCGATTCTGCAACGTCCCCCATGAACTCAGGTCACCCATTTCCTAACTGGCCTAAGCACTGACTTGCTCATGACATTTTTTTCTTGAGTCTGGGTTGGAAAACTTGAGGCATGAAAAGAGCTCTCATGCCTATTTCTTTCCTGATATTATTTCAAATATTTCATAGCATATCCATTTCTTTGAGTTCACCTACATTGAGGCATGCACTACCAGAAGTTAAACTTCATAAACATCAAAGGGCAGAATTACCTGCCATTGAGCTAAGAGTTTGCAGAGCAAGTGGAAACACAGTAAGCTCATAAAAACATTGCTCACTTCCATTGTTCTTCCACCAGGGCTTGAAAGAAGGAGAGCCTGAGTCTTCGATAAAAATAGCTAAGATTCCTATGGCAACATTCGTAAATAAAATTTACATAGTTATTATGTGTTAAAAAATACGTCTAATGATGAGATGTGTTAAATACAGTCACCGAATAAACAGAGGGGAGGGGAAATGGAAAATAAGGGAGAACAAGAAGAGAAGACTTCAGTTTCTAAATATTGGCAGCTTCTGTCATACCCTTTTCTGAGAAAAGTATTATCTAAAACTTTAATAAGCATCGTGGTGATTTTAAACTACCACAGCACTTATCGAGTTGCCTAAAAGTTTTCTAGAATACTCCTTAGGGTTTAATTGGCAGTATTGTTAATATGAGGCATAAAGCATTCACTTAGCACTAATGCACATGGAAAAAAATATCCCGAGAAAACTGCTTTACTCTGCAGGTAGAAAAGCTTAGTTTTAACCTTAACAATTTAGAAGACAAAAACATACATTATTTTTCTTCCAAATTGCTTCCAGCACCCTGCTTAAGTGAGAATGCTTATAAACACACACACACACACACACACACACACACACACACACACACACACACACACACATTTATATTCCTAGTCTATTTTCTTTAGGAATTCCTTTTGGGAAGAAATGGTTTGCACTGTCAAATACTGAAGTGCAAAAACTCTTTCATTCCTATAGTCAAGCTTAAATTCCCCCCCAAGACACTATCTATATTCGCTATAAAATCAAACCACGAAGTCACCGTGGTGCTAAGTCAGGGCTTTCAGAAGGAATGGTGTTTTTGTCCTTTTCCAGTGTTCACAGATTCTCTTACAGTTATTGAGTCTTGGGAAGTTCAGAGTTTAGCAGGAGATTCAAGGGATCAACAAATCAGGCAGCAAGAGTGTGGCAACACCCATAAATTAAAAAACGGGATTCAAGGCTCTCGGAAGCCCCAGTCTTTGCCTGGTCTCGCGGATGCCGCGCGAGCAGGCTGCGTCCAGGCCCCGTTGCAATCTGCTATCCCTTTCTTGTGGGACCCGCCCACTCCCTGGAGATGTAACAGCTGTTCCATGGGTATAATTCAATTTGGTCGTTATAGCTCGATTTGACGGCAAGATGACTCTCCACCCCCTGAAATACAGTAAACCTAGCAGCTTAAAGTAGACATAAAAAGTACCTCACTGTTCTTCCTTAAATCCTCTCTCCTATGCTAAGATAGCACCATATAATAAACAATCAGAAAGTAAATGGCCCATTGAAGTGTGTGTACAGTACCTGTAATGTGGATTATGATACACATTATATAAAAACTCTATTGCCCTGAAAGTTTCCTGAAAATGATTAATTTCATACCTTGCACTCCATAAGAAACGATGCCTTCTTCTGAGCCGCCTTTCTCAGGATCACACCCTCTCTCCCAAAGGGAAGGAGTGTAACATGAACTTGTCTGGGAGTTGGCTGAAGTCCTACTTCGTGGTCGGTATTAAAATATTCTTTTTGCATTGAAAAGAAGAGCAGAGTACAAAATGTTCAGGCTACTTTACTTTGTATTCAGTAGAAGGGAAGGAGAAAAGCGAATGGTTAACAGCAACACTATGATTATTGAATAGACTTTGGAGCCAATTGACTATGTCAATTCACTTTG